ACTCCCATCTACCCACTAACAGCACTGGACCCGGAAACACTCCCATCTACCCACTAACAGCACAGCACCAGACCCCGAAATACTCCCATCTACCCACTAACAGCACTGGACCCGGAAATACTACCATCTACCCACTAACAACACAGCACTGGCGAGACGTGGGGCCAGCTCGACTCACATGTACTTCGGTGGGAATGTAACGTGGCACAATCTCTTCGGAAAACAATTTGGCAGTTTATTAAGAAGTTAAACATCAACCTGCCAATATGCTCCTGGGCATTTTACCCAATAGAATGAAGGCGTATGTACACACAGTCTTGTATGTGATATTCACAGATTTATCTGTAATAGGTCTAAACTGGAAAGAACCCAATCTTTTATCAATGTCTTATTCATGGGTAAATGGATGAGCAAATTGTGGTATATCCATAAATACTATTCAACATAAAAGAAAGACAAACTGTGGATATCTGCAACAACACAGGTAAACCTCAGAATAATTATCACCACAGAGACAACAACAGTACATACTGTATAATTCTATTTATATAAAATTCTAGAAAATGTGAACAGTAGTCTACAGTGACCAAAGGCAGGTCTGTGTTTGCCTGGGGCTGGGGGAGGTCCGGGTTACAGGGAGAACAAGGGAGCTTAGGGGACGGATCTACCGATTGTCCTGATTGTGGCAATGGATCCCCAGGTGTATACACGGGTCACAACTCGGCAAATTGTACACTTTAAATAGTCAATGATATTTCAACAAATTGGTTAAAAAATGCAAATAAAATACCTCAACTTCAAGGTCCTGGCGCTTGGGATTGTGAATGAAGAAAGTGAAGTTTTCCTCCCACACTGGTTCATTGGTTTTGTATCGAATCTGGAAGAAATATCCAATTAGCTCTGCGACATTTTCTGCGGGAAAGGGCTACTCATTTTATGTGTTTAGAAGCTTAGAATGAAAAATAAAAAGAAAATAAATAAAACAAAAAACTAGAAGCTTAGGTTGACCTTCATTAAATTCCAAGACATGTATTTGCGGGTACACACTATTATATATTGACTGTGGACGTGTTGAAAAGATAACGAGACGGTCTAAAGCATTTAGAGTGTGTCATGAGGCCCCGGCTTGTGTGCCCACAGATAAAGGCTTCTGTGTGCGAGGCCTGGCCTCGGTTCTGTAATGACTTCTGAATCCATGTAATAGTGCCTCCGCACTGAGGGGGGTGCTGCACCTGGGCATGTCTCTAACACCGTTAACAGTTCAGTGAGTGACGGCCTCTAACTGTGAGTATTTCTTTTTTTTTTTTTTGCGGGGGTTGGGGAAAGAGTCTTGCTCTGTCACCAGGGTGGAGTGCAGTGGTGCAATCTCAGCTCACTGCAACCTCTGCCTCCCAGGTTCAAGTGATTTTCCTGCCTCAGCCTCCCAAGTAGCTGGGACTACAGGCACACATCACCATGCCTGGCTAATTTTTTTTTTTTTGTATTTTAGTACAGACAGGGTTTCACCATGTTGGCCAAGATGGTCTCGATCTCCTGACCTCGTGATCCGCCCGCCTCAGCCTCCCAAAGTGCTGGGATCACAGGTGTGAGCCACTGTGCCCGGCCTAAGTTTTGTATTTTTAGTAGAGATGAGGTTTCACCACATTGGCCAGGCTGGTCTCGAACTCCTGACCTCAAGGGATCTACTCGCCTCGGCCTCCCAAAGTGTTGGGATTACAGGCATGAGCCACCACACCTAGCCGCTAAAGTTATTTTTAAAAATGAACAGTATATTTCTTGCTATTTCAACTAGCTGGTTATCTATCAAATGACTGATTTAAGAAAAAAAGAGATGAAAAGCCCTGGTCTTGATGCCCACACTATCACACAACTGAATGTGTTTGCATCCTGGCATCCCCAGGTGAGATGGCAACACGGACAACACCCGCATGACAGGCACCAATGCTGAGTCTGGGGGCCAGTGCCTTACCTTGCTCTCCTGGGCTGTGTGCCCAACTGACATCTGGACAACAGGATTTGGGTTGCTGCTTATTTTCTTCCCTGACTACCCAAAACAAACAGAAAACAGACAAAATAAATAAACACATTTTGAAATGGGTCTTAACTAAAATGAAATTACTGGCTTATATAAGTAGTCATTTTTATTTATCTCTGATACTAAGGGAATATCTGGGAACAATTTAATGGGAAAACATATGCTACACACATCCCAAACCATAACTACAAAACTTTCTTTTGCACACAAATTTTAAAGGTTAGGGCCTGGTATTTTTACAGCCAACTACTTTGGAAAACTGAATCTTCTAAAAATTCTTAATGTTAATTACAGTTTTCGAAAGTTCTTTTATTTACAAGGATAACGAAAACGAATAAAGTGCAATTAATGGAAACCAAAAACCACGAGGAAAGACAAATGTAAAAGAATGTAAAATTCAGAATATTTCTCTGGTGGGAATAAAAATAGTATAGCGTGTCAGATATATGGTTTTATGTTCTCAACTTAGTGTCTTCTGTTTGAGCATTTTTAAGCTTTCATATATCAAATCTTGCTTACCAGCTGCTAAACAATTTTGACTGGAAGAATAAACATCAGTTTAGAATCATATTAAAATTAAGCAGATACAAATATGAAGAAAAAATTCAGGAACAGGAAAAACGGTAAGAAGTGTACATGAGCACAGAGCTGATAGGAGAAAATAGTGAAACAGCACATACGTGTGACATGAGGTTTATTTATAACTTAGCCCCACAAGAAGATGCAGTTAAATGTCTGTGTTAGTGGAAATTAATTAGAAGGTGACAAAAATGTTTTTGAGTTAAATAATTTTAGAGTCAAACCTCAACACTACAGCAATGTCAGAAACAGGTGTCAAAATCCTATCATTATCGAAAGAAATATTACTAGCTCAAACCTACTGCGATAATCTATTTTCTGGTTCATCTTTCGGATGTGAATTCTGCAAAATGAAATAAGCACTGTTAAAAAAAGTTTTCAAGGCTACAGATTACTGTGGCAGAGAATACTAATTTTCCCCCTAAGTTAATTTTCTCCTTTTTCCTTTAATATTAGAATTCCCAAGTTTTAGCTGAGCACAGTCCTCTGTAAATAAAGATTTTGTTGGCGAACCTCCCTTGCAGTCAGGCACGGCCAAGTAACTAAGTTCTGGCCTCACAGGAGGCTGTGTCCCCTCGGGCCGGAGCCACAAGTAGTTCATGGCAGACCCCCAGGCCAGAACCCCCTGACTTCAGGGGAGATGAACTACTGCTACTTCTAAGTCAGTTCTATTGTCACAGATACAGAAGCCAAGGCTGCTCCTTAACTAATAATATAAACACTTCATCTCTGAAAAAGTGGTCACCTGTTCCTAGAGATTGACTGCATCTTGTCAATTTTAAAATGGATACTTTTTTTCCCCCAACTTTCTAACATCTCTGAAAGCAGAATGAATCTTAAATCGGTAATATATACCTTTTTGGGGGAGGCTGGCAGTAGTGAGAGTTGTCGCTGCCCTAACCAATTTATTTTGCTTCTATTTTCTGTTTAGGTATACCTGTCAGTGATATGATAAAACTATTTATCCTAAGCCTAAAATTCTCTAAGTATAAAATAAACACTGTCAAAACTTAACGGCATTTAAAATCTTAGTGGTTCATAAAATAATGTCTCTTAAAATGGATGATGTTTTCAATTCTATGAAATAAGGTTAAATCATTAAGTTTTCTACTACAGTGCAATATTCAAAATACATCAGCACAAGTCAAAGGGACAAAGTATAATAAAAATATAAGGGTTAAGTCAGACTGTCTTGAACTTAAACCTCAAATCTATTTATCACTTGATTATTGAGACCTAAATGCTGCATCTATCTGAACCTCAGTTTGCATGTTTACACAATGGGCATTTTTGGGATCTAAATTAGCTAATTTAATAACATACCAATTATGATATAATTATCCTAGCTACACTGGGTGCTTTCGTATGTATTATTTTATTTAATGTATTCAACAATTCCATGAAGAGGATACTACTACTCCTTCTATCCTACGAATAACACAACAGAGTGGATGAAGTGTCCTGTTGGAGGTCACACTGCTTGCTGAGTAGTTGGGGTGTAATTTAAATACAGTCTGATTTCAGGGCCTTCAGCCTTAACGTTATGTTCTCAGGTAGCAAAGAAGAGTCTTGATGTAATTCCTTCCAATGTTCTGGAGGGCGCAGTTGTTTCAACTAGTGTGCTAACTAGTACTCCACAGGAGGAACCTCGAGTAACACACCTTATCTCCCTGGCGCAGGACAAAGTGAGGGTTCGCAAACACCACACTATAAAGCAGACTCTGCCAGTCTCCTGCACTTTTGAAATCTAACTCATTTTTTCCAGATGAGACTGGATAAAAACAGTTCCTGTTTCTTTAGGATAGACAGAATTTTCTTTAAATAATTACATTTAAAATTCCCCACATCCTCCCAAAATTAAAGCCTAAAATGTTCAAAGAAATTAGAGAAAAAAAAAAACAAAAAAACATTAAGTCATAAGAAAACTTTTTAACAATTTGCCAGAGAACACACGTGGATGTCATATTTTAGGGAGTGGAGCTTAGTTTTCAATAGACCTCATTTAATGAAATTGAAAGCTTCTCAAAAGATCTATCACCCAAACCCAGCAGCACCAAAAGCCATGACGTTGGTGACTCAGAGACGACCCTAACTCAACATATTGGAAGAGGTGATATTAAAATGCACATTCACAGTTCACAAGGCATACCTTTAAGTCATGATTTAAACATCAGTTGAGATTTTAAGTAGAACTTCTATATCACAATTTTCACAAATTCGAATCCAATTAAAATAGATATTTAAATCACCTTAGAGTTGCCTAAAGCCAACAGGAAAATAATCTAATTTATCATACAGTACTTTATAAAATTTACCTTCAAAGTTGACTTAAATTAGTTCTAACTACTAATTATTGGATAACAAAAGTAAGGTCTCTTCCACTAGACAATTAATTACTATATAAATATGGGAGGTAATTTGCCAATAAACTTATGAGACAAAGTATCATCTCTTTCAATATGTTTTCATTAACTCTGACCTGAAGAGAAAACAGTTTACCTTTAAAGCTCTCTGAACTGCGGTCTTCTTCAAGACATCAGGGTTAAATTCTAATGGGTTACTCTTTCAAGTCAGAAGAAAACGAATACGCCAAGGGTTAATAAAACATGCAATGAAGTTTATGTAAGGTTAAAGACATGAGAATTTATGGGAATAAACAACAAAAATCTTTAAACAAAACCACCAGAATTACACAAACAACCAAACACCATCTATAAAATTCCTTATGCCCAAGACTTTATCTTAGAATGAACCTTTAATCCAAAGACAGCTCCTTATCCCCTACGACTAATATTCTTTTACTACCCCCACCCTCTTGATCCTTTGTGATTTCAAAAATACAAGAGTGGGACTTTAGGAAAGGGTTCTATTTACTATTCTCTGCTGAATAAACCCCTAAAATACCAATCATAATGAAAGGTTTTATTTGAAGCACAATCAATGGGCCACAGCCACCCAAGTCACTCTCAGGCCAGGTCAGGTCCTGGAACAGCCGCTGAGATGCAGCTTCCCAGCCACCGCCCAGCAGAGGAGCTACTCCTCTCTGCTCCTTGTCCTTTTCAGGGGTAGGAGTCAGGCTGGCTGCATCCCCACAGAAGCTTCTTGGGCTCTAAATACAGTCCTATGATTACGGGTTTTATGTTTACTTTTATTGATTTTTTTTCCAATTTGTTAGTTTCTTGCCCTCAAAACGACAAGACTGAGTTGTTTTGCAAGCTCCTTCTAGGACTAGTATTCAAGATTAAAGAATTTATCATTTTAGTTGTAATTAACTTCAAACTTGTGACAAGCTGAACTGAATGTTCAATTTTTTTTTTTTTTTTTTTTTTGCTAAGCAAAAGATTTTATAATGAAGAAAGATGAATAACTAGCCTCTCAATCTTCCATGACTGGCAGGCTGGGCCAGGAGAGAAGATGGAACATGTGGCCAGGCAGGAATTCACATGACCCTAAAGCTGCCAGTGGAGCTCTCAAAAGTCCCTGGATCTACTGTGTCCATATCTGGGTGGAGCCTGGACAAGGGCATCCTTCACATACTTCCCAGGGGCTCATACACAATGAGGATGGGAACTCCGCTGCCCAGAAGGACTCACGTTCTTCAGATATACTACAAACCCTTCCTGAAGCTCACTTTTGGATAGATATGGCCTGTACCAAAGACACTTAATATTCTAACATGCATCAAGTAAAGTAAAACAAGGAGAGAGGCTGTGGCCTGTAGGTAGGGGTTGCAGGAGAAGCTGTGTAAGGTGGTGGACAGCTGTGTGGCTCTGGGGATGAGGCAGACTAGATCATGCAAGTGCTTCAGGCAGGTGCCCTCTCGGGAGGCCTCTGGAGTTACCCATCTTGCAGCCATGGGCCACTCACCATCAGGAAGCAGTGGGAGCCACCTGTGTTTTTTGTTTTGTTATTTATTTATTTATTTAAGACAGAGTCTTGCTCTGTCACCAGGCTGGAGTGCAGTGGCGCTATCTCTGCTCACTGCAACCTCTACCTCCCAGGTTCAAGCGATTCTCCTGCCTCTGCCTCCCGAGTGGCTGGAACTACAGGTGTGTGCCACCACGCCTGGCTAATTTTTTGTATTTTTTTTTTTTTAGTAGAGATGGGGTTTCACCATGTTGGCCAGGATGGTCTTGATCTCCTGACCTCGTGATCCACCCACCTCAGCCTCCCAAAGTGCTGGGATTACAGGCGTGAGCTACCATGCCCGGCTTTTTTTTTTTTTTTTTTTTTTAAATGACAGCCAAAATAACTTGCACAAAGCTCCTAACATCATTAGGCCTAGGGGCCTCCACAGTGGTGGCTATTATCCAGCTAGCACTGTTATGTTTAAGGCATCAGTGCAAATACCACTCATCTCAGATGAATTCCATATACAGACTGATGAATCTATAAACTTAATAAAGTGACAATAAATGCACGTTGCGCTAGGGTGGAGTGGACAGGAGGCGCCAAGCGCCCAAACTCTGGGCCCACGCTGAGTTCCAATCCCAGCTCTGCCACGCACTGACCCCGTGCCTGGGAATCTCTAGTCTGTGTCATCTGGGTTCTTGGTGTTGTCTTAATTTCCTTATCTGTAAAGTGATAATGAGGGTCTGGGGATTAAACATGTAGCACCCTGGGACCCCTGCCTGGCTCCTGGAAAGTGCTCAGTAAGTATGCTGTCACATCAGGCTTAAGATGCCAAAGCTGGCCACCATAAGTCAGAGAAAGTCCTCTTGTTCAAGCCTGAAATTAAAACCCAGGATTTCATCAAAAGGAGGGCAAAGTTCTAAGAGTCCACATTATGAAGAGGTCGTTTCCAGCCTGGGAGAAATTCCTGTTGTCCTAAGTTTGCAGATGGGGATTGCTGGTGGTAATGCACTCCTGGAAGTGGAATTCAAGGTGCTTTTGAGTGGGTAGGAAGTAAGAGAGCACTGGGTTGGTAGCCATCAAAGCCTTCACCAGTGACAGCAAGGGTCTCAGCCCTCTGGGGAAAACTGGGGAAGGACTGATCTGGCTTCATGTTGAAATCCAACGGGTGGGGAAAAAGTTCAAATTTGTTTTACAGAACATCTTAGGTGATGCATATGTTCTAATAAGGAAGTACACTGTGCAACTTGGATAATGCTGCAGGAAAGCCGATTTTGGTAACCCTCCTGATATGAGGTCAGAGATATTTCCTTTCTGCAAAAGGAAGCAGTTGCAGAATGGGAAAAAGTAACTTGGAAAAGCTATTGGAGATAAACTAACAGTTTACACAGTGGAGCTATCTTGTCATGTTTATACTAGTCTATGATGAAATTTTCTGCTATCACCAAAAGCAAAAAATTATTTTCTTAAAAGTAACAGAATATGCTGCTATTATGTACTGCTGACCCCATTTTTACTTTAAAAAGGCCTTAGACATATCTGAGTAGACAGCCAGAGAGACTACATGGTTACCACTTACTATTGGTGTGACTGAACAGCTTACCTAGCCCTTCATGGTCTTGATTTTCCTCATCTGTAAGATAGGGCAAAATACCTGTTCTTCCAATGAGAAGACTTGGACACGGGGCAGGGAACATCACATACTGGGGGCTGTCAGGGGGTAGGGGGCTGGGGG